GGTGAGGATGGGAAGAAGGTAGTATAAGGGACGATTTCAATAGTGGAGGTAGCTCCAGAAGTAAGCCGAGAGGATATTGGGAGAACAATGCCTGGGAGTGGTGCTAGGGTGGCTGTGGAAGAAGGCGTGGCAGCGTGTGTGGAGGCAGTGTTGTCTGGGGAAAGCTAGCTTCTAGACCCTAGACATTCCTGCGGACACACACCCTTTCCTGGTCCCCTCAGGCAAGCACCACCTAGTTCACCTGTCCTAAGTTCAGTGCCCAGAGAAGGAAGAGGGGTTCAGGGAGAGTTGTTCCTGCCCCTCTGCCCTATCAGACCAGGACAGAATGGGGAAGGGGGTCTTTCCAGCCCCCAGTAGGCAGGGTCAGGGCAGCCACCTCGGGCTGATGTCACAGAAGGCCTTCAGCCAGATCCTGAGTCTGTTTTCATTCCTGCTCCATGAAATGGGAATAATTAATGAGAAACAGAGGGAGTAAGGAGGGAAAGTGGAGGGACAGATCTGCTTGCCCATCAGACCTGTGCCCCACCCCAAGGCTGGAACCCTGTATCATTCCTGGACTGGACTCCTGACAAGTGCCTTCAGAACCTGGGCCCTGGCTCTCCTCCTCCCCACAAGCCCAAAAGGGAAAGGTGAGGCAGCCCTTGTCCACGTGTGCAGAAGCCCCTCCTGGGAGGGAGAATGTCACTCTGAAGTGACCCAGGATGGGCCTAGGTTCCCCTCAGCTTCCTTCCTAGGTGTCCTGATGTAGTGGGAACAGCACAAAATCATGGTAGGTTAGGTCCAATTCAGATCTTGGCTTTGCCATTGACTGGCTGTGTGATCGCATGCAAGCCGTGTACTCTCTCTGAGTTCTGTAGAAACAGGGATAAAATGTGTCATGTATACAGGACACTTGTGGACAAATGTGCCTTGCAGCAGGAGAGTGGTAGGGTAGCAGACTATAGAAGCAGCAACATAGAATGTACCCAAGGAACACTGTGGAGGTGTAGAATTGTTGGGACCAGGCACCCAAGACTGGCTCTCTGGCTGTGAGAAGTAGATAGCCCAGCAGGGGATGAATTATGAGGAAAGGAAGGCTCAGGGTCGTATGTCCAGGACTTTGTTCCTTCCTCACCCTGAGTTGGAATGCCTGATTGCCCCTAGATTGCCCTGCTCTTTCTTACATGCTACAGGAACTCGGAACATAATGCTCCCTTCTCCCTCTTGCTAACAGCCTCCAAGGCTTAACTCAAGTCACCTTCTCAGGCAACTTTCTCTGATAGAATTCCCAGCCTGAGTCCCTTCCTAACAGCACCTGGTGTTTACCTAGCTGTATTGCTTACCTCACCACATTGTGTTAGTTGATTTATATATCAGTGTCCCACCTCTGAGCTGTATGTACCTCCAAGGAGTGGGAGCTGTAGCTGGTTCATCTCTGCTTCCTCCACATCCCAGCCCCCTACCCTGGGAATAGCATATGGAAGGGCTCAATGAAGGTATGTTGAATAAGTGAATGAGTGAGGGGAGGAGGGAATGAAGATATACTCAGGGTCAGACACCAAAAGGTTAAAGGGACCTGGATGGTAATGGGGGCCCCAGCCCCTCTCTTGGGTATCAGGTAACTGGTTAGAGGACCTCCAGCCTTGCCCAAGACTAGCTCAGGTCTCACACCCATAACATGTACCTCAACTTGTAATTATATACAGTTCTTCATAAGATTATTTGAATAGCATCCATGTCCTTAGTAGACTTAGCTCTTTGAAGCAGCAGCTGTTTCTGCTGCATTCTCTATCCGTTAATGAGCTTCTGCACGTTCACTGCCTCCAAACCACCCAGCCCCCAGCAGCTCTATCCCAGGAAGTGGGCCAGAGCCTGGGCTAAGCTTGCATCAAAATGTCCAATATCCCTGTGGGTGGAATGGAGTTAGTGGATTTTCCCAAGTGCCTTGGTTTATACAACTCATGCTATCAGCAAAGCACTATTCAGCATTTTCATATCTGTTCCTATATTTTATTTAAACATCATACTAATAAAAATAGCAGCTGACATTTTTGAGTACTTACTATGATCCCAGCACATACTTTACATGTACTCACTGATCTAATGTTTGTCAATCCCATGAAGTAGGAATGATTACTACACCTTTTTACAGAAGAGGGCATTGAGGCACAGAGAGGTCAACCTGCCCAAGGTGTCACAGACCAGGAAGCTGGGCTTTGACCCCAGGTCTGCCTATACATCTGCAGCCCTTCTCACTGCACCATGCTAGTCGCTCCATTTTTTCCAGGTTCTAATCCAAGGTCTGCCCAACCAGGTCTAGATCTCAGAGCTGCTGTCCAGGTCCCTCTCCCTGGGGCCGCCCTGTAGGACGGGAAATACTATCAGGGGCCAAACACAGCCTAGAACACCCTTACTCAACCTACCTGCCCTACTGTCTGAGTTCAGGCATAGAGAGGGGCATGAAATAGATAATTTGGGGCTGCAACTGCCCCTCTGAGGCAGATGGGATGAGAGGTGAGGGGGAGCTGCCCTCTCCCAGCCTCAATATTCCTCCCTCCCACTGGCTTCCCTTTTTAAGTACTAATTTGGGAGATCTAATTTTCTGCCCCCAGTAGTGTATAATTAACCAAGACTGGGCAGATTAAGACCTCATTACCTCTTATTCCTTATCTGCTCCAAGGAAAGCCAGACCCCTCCTCCCTACCCTCATTCTTCCTCTGCCCTAACCACGCCCAGCCTCCTTGCACCCCTGCTTAGGGATTTCTGAGGACTCATCCGAACCCCTGAGACACAGGTTAGCTTGGTTAGGCCTCCCAGGTAGGAATGCACAGGCGGGGAGGCACCTCCAAAGAAGGGGATGCTTCTTCCTTCCTTCTTTGCATTCCTTGTCCCACCTCTTCTCAGTCAAGAGAAGCTCTTAGGGTGCGTGGATGGGAGGTGAGGCCAGGGAGGATTCTGTAAACTGGGGCCGTGGGAACCTGAGTGAGGAAGGTGACACAGTGTGCGTGGGGGTGGGTTAAGAGTAGTGTGCCCTTGTCTGCTGTTTCCCTGGGTAAGGCGAGAGCGCATGCAGGGAAGTACAAATCTGGACACTCGTCGCGGGAAATATGTAAGGCTTGTTGCACAGGCACACCAGAGTACCGTATGCACTCCGGATTTCTGGGTTCAAGACGTCCCTAGAAATCTTCGGCCTGGAGTGTACATACCAAGTGTCCCCCTCATTGTGCGGTTGCCGGCCCCCACTCCTATCTTGGCGCTGAACGTCCACCATCCCGCCCTCCCTGCAGACCCAGTAGGGGGCGAAGTCTTACCTCTGGCGGCGGAGACCGCATCCCAGACTCCCGCTCAGATGGTTGGAAAGACGGGGTACGGCGGTGAGAGGGTCACTCCAGGAGACCTGAGCCCCAGGTCTCCCCATCCCGTAAGGCCCAGGAAGTGGACACTTGATCAGGATCTGGGAGCGCCCCTCCCCTTTCTCTGAGCCCTCAGCCGGGCAACGCGGCGCGGCGTATGCGGGACTCCAGTTAGCACCGAGTCCCCTGCCCCCGCCGCTCGCGACACCTCGTGCCTGCTGACAGCTCCAGCGCTGGGCACAAGGCGACCTGGGGCCCCCGCATCGTATCCCCTCCCCGCCCCGCCCGCGGCAGAGACCCCCGCCAGGGAAGACAGGAGGGCTCGGCAGAGGCCCCGCCCCTCCCGCTCGGGCGCCCCTCCCCCGGGCCAGCTACTGCGGCGCGGCGCGGGCTCCGTGGGGGGAATACTAAGGAGCGGGCGTGGCGCGGGCAGCCCCAGCGCGGGAGCGCACCGCGGAGGGACGGCTGCTCCTCTACCATTTCTTTCCGCCAGGCCGCCGCCGCCGGAGTGCGCCGCGCAGCCGGCCGCCCGGGCGCTGGACGAAATCTTCAACCTCCAACTCGGACCGCCTCTGCTCTCACAGGCCAGTCCCCTGCACCTGGATCAGCTGCCCGAGCCTCTTGGCTGGCAGCAACGCCAGCCCCTAGTCACCTCCCCCACTTAGAATTCCCCTGCGGCGCTCTGGCCGGCCTGGAAACGTCTGGGGTCGAGACACTTGAAGCCGAGGAGCCCGCGATCTATGAGACGTTGTCCACGTTTCCTCCCCCTACCGGGTCCAGCCAAAGACCCAATAATTTAGGGCATGCAGGTGCCTTAGAAACCTGTTTCACGCTCTGCAAAGGTTTACCACCCAAAGGCCCCTCCTGACACTGGGAAAACGACTACACCCCCAATGTGTTTCTGCATCCAAGGAGCCTTTGAGCGCGACCTCTCCACTGCCCCAGTGTTTTCTCCTTTGACATTTCCAGAAGCTGTTTTCCTAATCCTCTCCCTGGTTCTTGTTATTTATCCTCTGAACCTTTCAAGTGCACAGGCAATCTCTGGGTGGGAATCCCAGCCTCAGGCCTCACTTACTGGCTCAGCGACTTTGGGCAAGTTACTTAACCTCTCCCTTTCCTCCTCTGTAAATAAGAGATAAAAATACTTCCTTCCCTGGCTGCGTTATTGCGAGATTAAGTAAAATGCCTGTATAAACGGGGCATTTTAGTCCAGTGCCTAGAGCATAGTAAACGCTCAATAAAGAGTAGCCACATTTCTGGGCTGATGCTTACCAAAAGGAGCTAGCCTCTGCATCTGACCAGTGGGCTCTCATTCCCTTCGTTCTGGGCCACAGGACCCTGGGAGCTGACCAACCCCCTCTACCTCTGCTCCTTCAGATACAAAGGGTGTGAAAGGTCTTGTAAAACATCCAGACTCAAGTGTCTGCCCTGACCCCTGGGCCTCCGAAGGAAGAATTCCTGGGGTAGTTTGATGGTTACTACTATCGCCACACTTTCAAGTTAAATGCAATAAGCTGAAGCATGAAAGGACAGTTTTGAGCCCAGACAAGACTGAATTTGGCCTCCTGAGGACCAAGTGGATTCTGAAGGGCTGGTGCTGAGGGACTGTGAACTTGAAGACATCAGGGAATTCTGCCTTGGGAGGTAGAATAAGAAAGGGCAAGAGAATCATCTTATTGCCTTTATTCCGCTGATGGCCCAGCTGGCCCCACTGCAGGGCACAGGGCCAAGCTTTTACACACTCACCCATGCTCTCTGTGCAGGCCAGTGCGTGCACACATACACACACACACACACACACACACACACACATACATACACACACATATCCAATCTCTGGCTCGGAGAGTCAGTCTCTGGGGGCAAGGGGCTGCCCCTCAACCTGCCCCTACCTGCCCTTTTATGACAGCACCAAGGGCGGGGGTGGGGCAGGGCCCTCAGCCCCCAGAACAAGTCCCTGTGCAAACTGAAGGTGCCAGCTGGCTTCGGGATGGGGTGTCACATTTCCCCATTCCCAGAGTCCTGTCCTCCAGTTCCTGAGGGAGGGACTGCTCTCTGCCTACCTGGGGGGCCGGACCCCTTCCAGGGCTGGGCCCTATGGAACCCAGGCTCATCCCCAAACTGACCCTGCCAGGACCTCTGGCACTGAAGCACAGCCAAGTCTGAGGTGGTGGGGATCTCCCACTGGACAGCAGGAAGGCCTGGGCCCTGAGGGGCTTGGGGAGGGGTCATCACCCCCTCTCCTAATCCATCTTCAATATGAAGAGGTTTGGGGCACACTTCCTGGGGAGGGAGCACAGGCCTGAAGGAGAAGTCCCAGCTTGGGCCCTCCCCAAACCTCCATCTTCTGGGCCACAGCCTAAGGCCAGGCATCCAAAAGTCCACAAGTCCAGCCGGCTGGTCAGAGACCCTGCACAGTCCTTGGGGTACACACACACACACACACACACACACACACATACATACACACACATATCCAATCTCTGGCTCGGAGAGTCAGTCTCTGGGGGCAAGGGGCTGCCCCTCAACCTGCCCCTACCTGCCCTTTTATGACAGCACCAAGGGCGGGGGTGGGGCAGGGCCCTCAGCCCCCAGAACAAGTCCCTGTGCAAACTGAAGGTGCCAGCTGGCTTCGGGATGGGGTGTCACATTTCCCCATTCCCAGAGTCCTGTCCTCCAGTTCCTGAGGGAGGGACTGCTCTCTGCCTACCTGGGGGGCCGGACCCCTTCCAGGGCTGGGCCCTATGGAACCCAGGCTCATCCCCAAACTGACCCTGCCAGGACCTCTGGCACTGAAGCACAGCCAAGTCTGAGGTGGTGGGGATCTCCCACTGGACAGCAGGAAGGCCTGGGCCCTGAGGGGCTTGGGGAGGGGTCATCACCCCCTCTCCTAATCCATCTTCAATATGAAGAGGTTTGGGGCACACTTCCTGGGGAGGGAGCACAGGCCTGAAGGAGAAGTCCCAGCTTGGGCCCTCCCCAAACCTCCATCTTCTGGGCCACAGCCTAAGGCCAGGCATCCAAAAGTCCACAAGTCCAGCCGGCTGGTCAGAGACCCTGCACAGTCCTTGGGGGGTACCCACTCAGTAGGAATTGGGGGTCAGACCTGCACGGGCAGCGTCTGGTTCATTTGCAGCCGCATGTCCTGTATACTGCTGAGGATCTTCTTCTGGTGGCCAGCCAAGGTGACCCCAATCCGGAGTAGGTCTCTGCAGATGGATGAAGGGCAGGGTCAGTCACTTCCTTCCTGCCCATCACTCTGGGCCCAGCTCAGAATCCCCTGCCCTTCCCTTCCAAATCTGAGGCACACTCACTCTGCAGTCATCTGGGCCACCAGGTCAAAGGATGCAAACCCTGCACTGATAAAGCTCTCTTTGTACCGCCCCATCTTGATAGCATCTAGCCAGTCACCAACTGTTGTGAAGGTCGTGTAATCTGGGACCGTGCGGTCCAGGAGGGGCTGAGACATGCTGTGGGGAGAAGAGAGGGACTAGGTGAGTCCTGATGGCAGAGGAAGCAGGGGTGGAGCTGCTGGCTCAAGAGTAGGGTGGGAGCACAGGCAGAGGTACTGACCCAGACTGGGTACTGGCGATGACCTTGAGGCTGGCAGCATTGCGGATAAGCTTGTCTAGGGTGTTGACAATCTGGGAGAATTTGGGCCTGAGGTTCCGGTCCCGCACCCAGCAGTCCAGCATGAGCTGGTGCAGTGCTGTGGGGCAGTCCATGGGTGGAGGCAGCCGGTAATCCTGCTCCACAGCATTGATGACCTAGGCCAAGAGCACAGGAACATGGAGTGAGCCACCACTCTGCTCCTTAGCCAGCTCCCACCTACCCCCACACTCTGGCTGGCCCCACTCACATCCTGGTTGCTCATATCCCAGTAGGGTCGCTCTCCATAGCTCATGACCTCCCACATGACGATTCCATAGCTCCAGACATCACTAGCAGAGGTGAACTTCCGATAGGCTATGGCTTCTGGGGCGGTCCAGCGGATGGGTATCTTCCCGCCCTGGTTGGGGGGGCACATGCCCTTCACCCTATGACTCAGGGCTGGTCCCCAGCCCTGAGCCCCTGCTTGGTTGGCCCCACCCCCAGTTTCCCTCCCAGCTGCTTCCTGTACCAGGGAGCTGGTGTAGGTAGGATCAGAGGGATCGTCCTCCAAGAAGCGGGAGAGACCGAAGTCCGAGACTTTGCAGACCAGGTTGCTGTTGACAAGGATATTGCGGGCAGCCAGGTCACGGTGCACATAGTTCATCTCAGACAAGTATTTCATGCCAGCAGCAATGCCCCGCAACATGCCCACCAGCTGGATGACTGTAAACTGTCCATCGTTGAGCTGGAGGCAATGAATAGGCTCAGGTGGGCCCATTGCCTCCCTCCCAGCCCAGGGCCTGCCCAAGACCTTCTTGCCAATTTATCCACCCATCCTCGCTAAGTCCTCTCAGACTATGCCTCATCTATCCCTAAGACCATGTTCAGAGTGCACCAAGAGTAAGTAAGCTGCCCTACTGTGGCATGCACCAATATACAACATCCCAATTAACCCGAGAGGACCCAAATAGGTCTTAACAACTCTTACTTTACAACCAAGGCAGCTGAGACCCAGCGAGGTTAAGGAAAGCCTGAGGTCACACAGGCAGAAGGGGGGACAGTCAGCATGAGAACTCTGGCCTTTCTGGCTCTGAAGACCTGGCTGTTTCCCTGACCCATGCCATCTTAGTAATCACGTGTGCACTTGAATAGGATCCCTGTGTCTTGTGGGAGGATCCATGTGTCTTGTGGTTTGCCTAACCCAGCTCGCTGGGGAAGGGAAAGGGGCGGTGGGCTGGCTCTTACCCGGAGGAAGGAGTCCAGGGCACAGTTCTCCATGAACTCAGTGAGGATCATGACTGGGCGACTTTTGGTGACCACGCCCTCCAGCCGGATTATGTTGGGGTGATCAAACTGACCCATGATGGAGGCTTCACTTAGGAAGTCCCGCCGCTGCCTCTCAGTGTAGCCCACCTTCAGGGTCTTGATGGCCACAAACACCTCCCGGCGTCCAGGCTGTTTCAGTCTACCCCGGCACACTTCCCCAAACTCCCCTGCAGGACAGAGGGCACGAGTAGTAAGCTGTTTCTGGGATCACCCTGTACCCAGCCCAACTTGGCCCTCCCCTGGGGTGACCTCCAGCCTCTCCTTCCCACTGTGCTCCAGGGGACTCACCAGCTCCAATCACCTCCTCGATCTTGACGCACGACACATCGATCTCCTTGGCAAACTCCCGCACAGCCTCATTAGGGTCCTCATAGGTGAAAGGGTCGATATAAACCTTCATTCCAGGAGCGACTAGAGGAAGTAAGAGTGGGCATGGGAGGGGGCCAGATCTTTGGGCTTGGGGATGGTGAGGGGGCTCCTCAGGCCACTGCCCCAGGCTCTCACCCCTGGTGGGAGCCTATTCCATAACGTGGGAGCACATTCCACAACTACCCTGCTAAGCCTGCTCCTGCTGCTCTCTGTTGAAGCCCCACCTCAGCCTCCTCCTCACCCTGCCACTGCTTGGCTCCTCTGTGTGAAATAGTGACCATAAAAGCTAGACACCTAGGATTCTTCTTTCTCTCCTCTCATCATGAAAGCTGTGCCCATGCAACCTCTCGGATTCATGTCTCCCCTCATTGCCCCTGACCTTGTCTAGGCCTTCAACACCCAGACTATTGCAATAGCTTCCCAGCTGGGCTCTCTGCCGCTGGACTTTTCCCACCAACCTATCCTGCATACCTATCTTCCTAAAACAATACTTTGATTGTATTACTCCCCAGCTTGAGAGCCTTTCGGATTACCTGTGGTGGAATCAAGTCCAAACTCCTCTGCCTGCCTTTCACGACCCTCCAAGGACTGGCCGCAGTTACCCAGCTTTGCTCCCCAACAGCTGTCAAACCAGTCTTCTCACTGCTTCCACAGCTGGGCACTCTCCCCACCCCACCCACTACCTTGCAAAGGCTCCTCTAGCCAGGAATGCTCTCTCCCACCTCTTTAAACTCTGCTTATCCTGCCTGGCTCAGCTCAGCTCAAGGCGACCTCCTCTAGGAAACCTTCCTCTTCTCTGATCTCTTATTGCCCTTTATAAGAGGAATGCCCAGCTTAACACTTAATTGTTCTCTCTTTGTTTCCTGTGTATCTCGTCTTTCTCACAGGTCTAACTGCCTTTGAGGACAGGACTCACATCTCATTCATCCCTGGGGATAGCAGGAGTGAGGAAGGGGCCCCAGAAGTGGCACTTGATGGAAGAAGGATGGGGACCCAGGGTACAAGTGCAAGGAATGAAGCCCCCAGCAGGGAGGGGTCTCCAAGCCCTGCAGGGGCCAACCTCAGGATGAGACAAACTCACTGTACTGCTGCAGCTTCTCTGTGTACTCCGAGTCAGAGCTGTGACGCTGCTTCCTGCGGGGCATGGGGGAAAGAGGCCTGAGAAGAGTCCGACAGCCCCTTTGCACAGGGCACCCTTGGGCGCACAGGGATGGCACAGAGCACAGGGAATGGCCCAGTGCCTGGTCCCATGGTCAGTGGTTACAGCAGCCCCTGAGGGGGTCTGTCAGTTGACTCAGAGGATGGGATGAGGACATGGTATGGACTGGAGAGGGCCTTGCCAGCAAGAGAAGCATGGGCCCAGGAAGGGCCTATGGGGCACGAGGGCTAGGTACTAAAGGGAAACTCTAGGCAGCCCATGGGAGCAGCCTGGGCCTGGGAGTACCTGAGGCAGACGACGGCAATGACCACAACAGCCACCACGAAGACAAGCCCGGCCGTGGCAGAACCCACGATGAGGGGAAGCTGCTCCTGGAGCTGCTGGGCACCAGAGCCTGCAAACCGGGAGGGAACCAGTAAGCGGAGGGATGGGATGTATGGGCTGGGACATGCATCAGCACAAGGGTATGTACCTCTCTCACTTGTGGTCTCAAACTCGGCCGGGTGGCTGTACTGCCCATAGCCAGCTACCGTGCGGGCACGGACCTGGACCACGTAGCGGGCGTCGGGTCGCAGCCCATCCAGCTGCACAGAGTTCTTCTGGCTGGTCACCGTGGAGGCGATGCCCTCACTCTGGAACACCAGGAGGAAGGAGGCATCTCAGTGGGTCCTGAGGCCAATTAGCCTCTGCCCACCCACAGCCCACCCCGTGATCCCCTCAGAACCTAAGGCCTTGTTCTCAGGGGCCCCTGACATTATCTGGGGGTGCTCTTCTTGTCCCAAGGCCTCCTCCTGCCCCTTGTGGCTCTGACCTTCTCAAAGTACTTCATCTCATAGTCCAGGATGACTCCATTGGGCCTCTCTGGGGGCGCCCAGGACAGGGTCAGGCTGCTGCCTGAGCTGCTGTGTAGGTGCAGTGTAGGCACTTCGGATGGGGCTAAGGGAAGAGCAGGGGACTCACCATGGCATCTTTCCCAAGCACCCAGTTGCCATGGAGCCCTGGTGGTCTGTTGGAAGGCCCCAGACAACCTTAGCTCTTTATGGGTAAGATGACCCAGGCCCTACCCTCCTGTGTCCCCTCCTCACCAGCCTGGTTAGTGGTGATATTCACAGCTGCATAGCGGGGGGGCAGAGGGCTCTTGCCCGAGACACCATTGACTGCTTGCACCTCAAAGGTATAGCGCGTATGGGCCAGCAGATGGCTGATGTGGACCTGGCGCTCTGTCAGGCCCAACTGTCGAGGCACAAACTCTACATTGTCATCACAGCGTGAACAGGCCGAGGTGACCCCGGACCCAGGGCCCCCATGGCACTTCTTGCAGATGACGTTGTATAGGAGGTCGTCCCGGCCCCCCAGGTCTCGGGGCTCACTCCACTCGAGGATCAGTGAGGTCTCATTCACATTGGAGATCACACCTCGGGGTGGAGATGGCACCGCTGTGGGAAAGGTTGGGGGAGAGGGCAGTGAGCCAGGCCCTAGGACCACCCTTCTGCCCAGAGTCCCTGCATACTCCAAACTGCTTCCCACCTCCCTGCCTTTGCCTCTGCTTAAACAAGCAGAATACCTGTCCTACAGTTCTTCACTAGGCAGACTCCTATTTAGCCTTCAAGGCTCAACTTGAGATATCACCTCCTCTTGAAAGCCTTCCTTGATTCACCCTATCCCCATTCTCTCACTTGTGTAACAAAATTCCCGGGCAGCCTCTAGCCTAGCACTTAGTACACTATATGGTCATTATCTGTTTTCACATCTATTTCTCCCACCAGGCTGCAGGCTCCTTAAGAACAGCAACTATATTTTATCCACCTCCCTGATGCCTGACACAATGCCTGGAACCAAAAGCCAGAGGAGGGAGGACACCAGGCTGCCCCAGGGATGTGAGGTCCCCTCTGTGGTTAGAGTTGGGCCATAAGAATGGCAGTTCTATTCAGAGGAAGGAACAATGGACTAAAGGGCCCCAGATGGTTCCTGATGCCCAGCTAGGAGGCTATAGGTGCTTATCAAATGTTGGGGAAGGACTGAGCTAGCTGAGGTGGATTCTGGCTCAGGTCTGGTCACATCCTAGCTGTGCCATGCTGAGCACAACACCTAACCTCTCTGAGCCTCAGTGAGTTTCCCCAGCTGGAGAGTGGCGAGATCCCTTGGGACCGCTCAGGCCCAGGCGGACGCAGAGGGACGGCCTGGAGCTGGAGAGTGCGCGGGCATGCGTTCACTCACTGGTACAGGCACTATCCGCGGGGTCCGAGTCTGCACGGTAGAAGTTACTGTGGCAGATGCAAATGCTGGCAGCTGGTGAGGTGGTACGGCTGTTGGGGGGGCAGGGGAGGCAGGGTCCCTCTCCCTGCTTTGCCTTGTAACTCCCAGGAGGACAGGCTGTGGGGGAGAAGAGGATGGACATGCTCATGCCCCTCCCTGCACACACCTGCCTGAGGACCTGGCCCTTCCCCAGCACAGGTCTCAGCCCCTCACTCCTGTCCTGTGGGGGCCATGCTGGGATTGTCTCACTCCAGTGCAGTGACAAAAGGCTCTCTGCCCCGTGGAAACCCCACATCAGCAGATTCCTCTCCGCCCCGGCGCCCCCCCACCCCAACCCTGGGGCCTCATGGATGAAGACATCAGCCCCATCACCTGGTTGGCCTGGGTTTGTTGAGGCAGGGAAGAGGGAGTGGGGAAGAGACCACTAGCCAGCTGGCAGCGCCCTGTACTCTGCTGGGAAGCCCCCACCTCTCTCTGAAGCTTGAGGAAAATCATTCCTGAGGACCCTCAAGGCCACACCGAACAGCCAGGAGGTAGGGCCTCTGAGTCTCACAGACAACCAGGAGCAGGGCAGTAGCGCCTTTCTAGTGCCTTGGGCAGGGGTGGGGGCTGAAGAAGGGTGAGGAAGAAAAGCAAGCAGGCAGGAAGGCTGGAGTTCACCTGGAGTTCACCTAAAAATGTCCACAAGGGAAACCCCTGGCCCCCAAGTGAGCCCAGAGCTGGGTGTCTGAACATCCCCTTTCCTCCATCTCCTCTCTTGCCATCTATACTTGGGCACCTGGCACTGTACTCTGTAGATCCCTCATATCTACAATGACCATTTAATTTATTGTTCAAACCAGAATATTTTGACAGTGAAAGGGGGCACTAGAACCAATCACGTTTGGATAATGGGCATAAACCAGGCTTGTCATGGACACTCTGAAGCATGGTCACCTATCCATACATGACTACCTCTGGGAGGTCATGTGGAGTGTGGAATGCCCAGAGTTGGGGCTATGTCCTTCTGTGGGGTTTAACCTCCCCTCACTAAGGTGATATTCTATCCAAGCTCTTTTGAGCCAGTGGGGGAGGGGACAGAGACCAGGTCAGGCTGGTTGCCATGGGAACAAGCATGCACTTCCTGCCAGGGACCTGCAGAGTGTCAGCCCCTCTTCAAGCTGTCAGGCTCATCACCCCCACCCCCTTTCTCCACTCAGGCAGAGGAAGTCTGAGGGCAGGTTCCCACAGAGAAGTAGAGAGGGGCTGGGCAAGGCACTATTCACCTTCACATGACCAACACCTGGCACTGGGCCTCACAACCAGGTTGGGCTGCCAGTCCCCCAAAACCTAGGGCTGTGCTAAGAGCCAGCTCCCATCCCCGAGTTACGGGCTGCAAATGGCAGGGGAGAAAACTGGGCAGAGGGAACGGAAGGCAACGCCCTCACACCTTGTCCTGCATGGCAGAGAACTGGATGAGGCTATTGTCCCAGCTCCCACATTCCCAGCTGTAAGGCCCCTCTGAGACTCAGTTTCTTTATTCACAAAGTAGGGTAGGTAACTGGAAATCTAAATCATGGGATTGTGGTGAGGCTCCACTGAGAGAACCTTACATGAATGGGTTTCATAGCTGGGGAGTCTAGAACATGAGTCTTGGCAGGCCGCCAGAGGCAAGCCTCCTAACCATAGCCTCAATGGAACAGAGAATAACCGCCATCTCCCTGCCCCAGGCTCCCCAGAGCCACGGCTAACTCTTGCATGGTGGTCGCACTTGCCATGTGCTTGGCACTGTTCCAAGGGCTTCACATTCACCCACTCAATTAAGTCCCACTACAACTCTATAAAGAGATCACCATTACCGTCCCCATTTTGCACATGAGGAAAGTGAGGTTCAAAGAGGACAGCAACTTGCCCAAGGCCTCACAGGTGGATAATGGTAGTCAGCACTTAGACTTCCAGGACTGGGCCCCTAACCACTATGCTATAAATGCTGCCTCTCGAGGAGCAGATGAGACCCCAGGGTTAAGAGCCAAGCATAAGGTGCCCACAGGCCCTATGCCCATGGCTCCAGGGCCCATCTAATACTTCAAGAGTACCGCCCGATAAAACGGGCATCTCTGCCAGCCTCCTGAGTCTTTGACTAGATTCCCCATGTCTATCTATTATCCAGTGTCTCCCCTCATTTTCTCTCATCTCCCTCCCTGCACCTCATTCTCGGCAACAGATACCCCCCTTCCCTTTCCTCCTTCTGCCCCAAACCTGATGCCAGACCTCCTTGTGTGGCAAGGAGGAAGCGGTGGGTAGGGAGCAGTAGGTGGCTGTGGCCCAAGCCCTCCCCTCCGCCTCCTCCCGAAGCCAGTCCCCACTCACGCCGGCACTGGGACTCCTTGGCAGCTGGCTCGTGGCCAGTAGCACAGGTGCAGGCACCCACAGGCACCATCCACTCCCCATCGCCATTGCAGTAGAGTTTGAGTGGCACCGAGACCTCCACAGCGTTAGCGATGCAGGTGCCAGGGGCAATGACCAGAGAGGTGGGCTCAGCCCCAGTGAGGGTCTCAGGGAAGAGTGCGAAGCCTGCGGTGGTGGACGCACACTTCTTGTAGAAGGCACGCACAGAGATGAGTGACATGCAGGCACCCTGGTCCTGGAAGGCCAAGTAGAAGCCGGCCTTGGAGAGTGGTCCAAAGCTGCGCACCTTGGTGTTGACACGGCCATCATCAAGCCGTGAGAAACTCTCATCAGGCGCGATGGTGTCCACTTTTACATAAGGGTTCTCCATCCAGAAGGGGGAAGAGGCCGAGGCCACATCGCTGTCAGCCTCGTAGTAGAAGAGATTGAAAGTCTCCTTGCAGGAGCCAGGGATATTGGGGATGCTGTTGCAATCACGCACGGTGAACTTGAGCTCCACATAGACCCGCTGCACGTCCCGCCGCCAGATGAACCCTGTGCGAAGCCAGTTGTTCTGGCTTGACTCATGCACGTTACACACCTGGTACGTGCGGATCGGGTTCATGGCCTCATCATAGCCACTCACCTCTTCCCACTGTGCATGGACCAAGTGAAAAAGACAGAGAGTGAGCACCAACATTTGCCAGGTGCTTACCACATGCCCGATCTTCTATAGTTATTTCAGAGACACTTCTGTGGGGTAGTTGTTGAGTTCACAAACTACATGGGTTCAAATCCCAGTTCTCGCTTGCTGAGTGACTATGGGTAAGTCACTTAATGTCCCTGTGCCTCTCTTTCCCCATCTGTACTATGGTGAGAATCAAGATGTACATGGAATAAATGAATTTAAGTGAATAAAACACTTAGAAAAGGGCACTTGATATGCACTATATGAGTACCAGCAGTTATATTTATTTTCTTTATACCTGAGTTGCGTCATCTGTAAAATGAGGCTGACTGGCAGTAAATGAGGCTGTGAGGAATTTAGTTTAATATATGTAATGCGCTTATACAATGCTTGATATAGAGCAAGCACTCAATACATCTTGGCATTCACTATTAACATCACATTTAGCCTTCATAATTCCATGAGAAGGTGCCTCTGTTGTCCCCAGTCTCAAGAAGAGGAAGCCAAAGCTCACAAAGTCAGGGACTTGCTCAAGGCCACACAGTCAGGCCCAGTGACTCCACACCCCAGAGTTCCAGAGCTTAATACAGTTGAGGAAGGCCATCTAGGGAGGTTAATCAGAATATTTAGAGATGTAGATGTCAGGACTACAGGGATTTAACAGTCAAGAAATGGAGGCCTAGAAAGGTAAACTGCCATGCTCAAGGTCTCACAGCTCAAGGTCACACACTTGCTCCAGGTCCAAGGATCTGGATTCAACGTTTCTTGGTTCCCAAGCCAGTACTCTTCCCAAGGGACCCAGGAAGGAGGGAGGTGGGGGGGAGACATGCAAAGGGCTGTTGGACAGGGGAGGGGTGGAATGGGAATAGAATGAAGACAGGCTGAGGGGAGGACAGAGGAAGAATAGGACAAAGATGACGTGTGTGTGAGAAGGCGGACACAGGCAGGCTGAAGGGTGAGAGATTAAAAATGTCCAGAGAGATAGACCATCAGGAAAAGAAAGAAGGTGACAGGTGAAGAGGATGGAGCTGCCACAGGAGGTGAAACTGACAGGCAGGGGGCAGAGACAGCCCTTTGCCAGCCCGGGTAATGCAAGAGGAATAGATGCTGGAGGCTGGAGTAGCCTGACTGGCAACTAACACTCAGGAGAAATGGTGGGGAAGTCTTACCCCACTTTCTGGATGAGATGTCCATGCCAACTCAGATGTCACCCATTTTGTGTCCATGAGGGTCTCTGGGGGAGCAACATAAGAAAAAAGGTCAGGCACCAAGCTCAGGATGGGGAGAAAGAGGAAGTTGTCCAGGCAAGGCCAGAACACCAGAGACGGACCCCCACCAGGCACCGCCCAGCCCACCCCATCCCCAGCCCCCCAAAGCCCACAGCTCCCCTGCCCTGGAGAAAGCCTTGCAGCCATCTGCCCCCACAGGCCACAGCCCCAAAGATGTCAGGTCAGGCCAGCTGGTGTGGGTATCTGCTGCTGACCCCAGGCCTGGGTTAATGAGGTAGAAGCCAGGGCCAGTTCACACACCTACAGCTCTGTTAATCTCCACACAAAGGGGCGGCAGGGCCTTTATCCTGAAACAAAGGGCCATGCGCTTCAGAACCTGCTGCCCAGGCCTCCCCTGACTCCATTCCCAACACAAAGTTCCAGCACCACACATGCGCAGGGGAGGCAGAGGGCAGTTACAGGCCAGAGCCAGCCCCCACCCAACGTCCACTCAACTACCTCTAGGGGATGGGGCAGGAAAGGTGGGTGAGGGCTTAAGACCCAGACTAGCTACTCAGATAGTTTAATTCCTCCTGCAACCCTCAGATAAAGGTATTGTGGTGTACCCCCTTTACAGGTGAGGAAACCAAAGCCCAGATAAACATGCAGCCTCAGGTAAACCTGCTAGGACTGGGGATGAAGGTTTGAAAGGTGGCTCAAATTCAGGTCTGACTTCACAACTAACCCCTTAAACAGGCTGTAATATGACTGCAATATGCCCTCTATAAAGGGAGAACTGAGAAAACCGGGAAAGTTCCTGTGTGTCCTTTACATCCCAACCAAGCTATCACCTCCTCCAGGAAGCACTCCCTGAACCCCCAAGGCAGGGCTGGAATGCCTTCCTCTGTACATCCAGGGCCAAGCGCTTTGCAACACAACCAAACCTATTCTGAGCTTCAGTTTCTTATGTTGCCCTTGCTCAGCCATAGGAAGGGCCCATTAATATTTCTGACATAAATCACCCCCCTAGGAACCTGGCCATGGCTGGACAACTCTACTCTCTGACAGTGTGATCCCCAAATCAGACCTAGCAGCAAAGAGGCAACAACTCCTCTCTTACGGCTGGGAACACAGGGTAGCCAGCAGTTCTCCACTCAGCTCTGAGCTGGAATGGGGCAGGAAGGCCCCCAAACTTCTAGGGGCCTCTACATCAAGAGTGGAGCAGGTTGGGGAGACCCAGCAAGACAAAGACCCAAATCCACAGGCTCCGGGCTGCGGCCTTCATTGGTTTCCTGCAGTCCGGGTCTGAGCCAAGGATAGTAGAGGAGGCAGCTGTGGCCCCAGACCCTCAGCTGTGGCCCCAGGCAAGGGGGCAGTGGACAACAGCCATTCATTTTAGGGAGCGAGGCCGCCTCTGCTTCCTGCAGTAGCAGCTGGTCCCAGAGGGCCTGGCTACAGGGTGAGCTATCCCAGCCTCATCCTCGGTGGCCTCACAGGCCCCTCTGGCAGACAGACAGACTCAGACATTCAGTGGGGGCAGGGTAGGGGGTTACGGAAGGGAAGAGGCAGGCAGAAGCAGGGCCCAGAGACAGGCAGGCAGAGAAGCAGCCTCACTGAAGTGGACGTAGGCAGCCCAGTGCTGGAGGGATGCACAGAGCCGACTGGCAAGGACCAGACAGCTTGGACGGCCAGCGGCGAACTACAAAAGACAGTGAGATGGAAAGACAAGGAGGCCCAAGGAGACAGACCGGGAGGTTGCCAAGTGGCCACTTCTGGGAGACAGCCGGCCAAGCGCAGCCCCTCCCCCCAGCTGGCCAGCCAGTCCGCCTGCTTGTCTGCCCGCTACCCACTGCTGCCTGAGCAGGCAGGGGCTCCCACCGCTCCCTCGAGCTGCCTCCCTCCTCCCTCTCCCTCACTTCCTTCAGCTCAGCTTGTGCCAAACCCATCTGGAACTGTTTAAACCCAAATATTCAGCCCCCTCCCCCTCCAGCCAGATTCCTCCACAGTTTAAAACAAGCCCTGTGCTGGCTCTTGAGGAGGGAGGGAGAGGAGGGGACAGTGGGGAGGAGGGAGAGGGGAGGTAGGTAGGTAGCGGGGGTAGGCTCTTCATTTCTGCTTTATTTCTGAGGAGCAAGAGAGAAAGGGAGGGGGCGGGGATCAGCCCTTGGCCATCACTCAGCCTTGGCCATCGCTCAATCTCGGCACATTTTTCCCATTAATGAGTTGAGGACTTGTATTTTGAGTCATGTGTGCCTGAGGAAGGGCTCCGGTCACCCTGGTGGGGAGGGGGCTTGCTCTCTCAGCAAGGGGGAGACCTTGAGGTGCCTTCCTCCCAGTTTCAGGAAGAACTTTGTGGTGGGAGTGGGTGGGGGGAGTTTTGGAGGTGCCCACAAATCATCTGTCTGTAGCATTAGGAGGGAGAGACCGAGCCCAACAGAGCTCACCTTCTCTGTGCTTGTGTGGTATATGCGTGAGTAGTGTGTGTGCGTACACGCACTAGGGTGAAGGATGAGGTACAAGGGATAACGACGAGAGAACCAGTGAGCAATCTCCAAATGCCCCCAGCTGCCAACTGCACCCCACCCTGCTCTGTCCCACCATGTAGCTGCTGGAGGGAGACCAGAGAGCGGATGGCCACTCCCAGGTATAGGGCTGTGTCAGCCAGGGTGCCCCCACGTCCCTCCAAAAGTGAGCAGAGAAGTGGCCCCAGGCCTGGAAGATTTCTGGGATGGGGCTTTTTGATGATCAGAAGTGAAGCGACACACCCCTTTTAGGTTTCCACAGAGAGCAGCCATGTGGCAGCAGGTGTGTGCCCTCACCATGTACAAACACACATGTGCACACATGCCACCCACTTCTCCGTGGTGTGTTCATTCCCTGCCACTGGGGCCAAAGAGTGACCACTCAACACCTTATGGTGGGCAAAAACACAGCTGCCTGCAAACACACACAGAGCTTCACACACAGCCACAGTCTTTCTCAGACACACGGATGCATATGGTACAACTGATCAGTCTTCTTTAGGCATTCACATACATGAATCTTTCCTAACACAGACTGGGCTTGCCTTAGGCAAAGGCTTACTCTTACAGTCTTCATATGTGCACATTTCCTGAGACACAGGCAAAGAGGGCATGTGCACTCACCAGTACATTCTCCTTACACACCAACCTGCAGACTACCACCAGCCGCAAGTCACAGTCCTGTGTATAGTCAAGTACAAACACAAATACAGTTTGCCTGTACAGACTCTACATGCTCTCACGTAGGCACACACAACTACCATCAGCTACACACAGAGATGCCCATTTGCACTGAAACACACACAGGCATGTACAGACACTGTAAGCCTCAATGTCCGGCCTCAGAGGTGCATCCTCCATGCACATGCAATACACACACATGCACACACACTACAGGCATGTAGTGTGTGTTCTTTCTCTGAGATGAGTCTGCAGGTGGGGAGAGGAACAGTTGGGAGAGGGCAGAGTCTGCTAAGAAAGCAAAGGTAGTAGGGCAGTCTCCGCCAGAGGCTCAGGAGCTGTCACAGGTCAGGAGGCTGGGGGAGGAGCAGGGGCAGGAAGGCAATCCTGGGTGTGGCTGGGTGCAGCCTCCCCAGGTTCGGCCCCTGCCCAAACAGCAGACCAGTTCCCTGCCAGCACAATGACACTGTCCCAGCACTGAGCCCTTGGGAAGGGGGCAGCATCATGACAAGATTTAGCCCCAGGAGCTTGAAGCAAAATTCCACATATAAGCCGGGAGCCCAGCAGGAGGAGAACATTGTGGGCACCCAGCCTGTGTCTGAGGGCCTCACTGGGCACCCCCAGTGCAGGGGCACCACCTGGGAGCCTGTCACCTGCCTGGATGAAGGGCCAGACACAAACAGTGTTATGGAGCTGCCAGACCCCATGTGCTCCCAGGGCACAAAGAGCACCCCACCCTGGGGACAGGGCTGTCAGTGAGACCCCAGGAACCAAAACTGTTAGAGACAGCAGCAAGAAGCCTCCAGCCCAAACTCCAGACCAGGGACTTGGAGGTGGCAGGAAAGGTCATGCTTCTGGCTGGGCTAGCAAGGCGAGAAGGGACAGGAGGACCCAGAAGCAGGGTCCGGGCAAGAAGGTACACCCTGGAGCCCTGCCTCCAAAGAGAGGAAGAGAATGCCATGCCATCCCGAGTCAGTCCCCTTCCTCCTGCGTGCGGTCCCTACCTCAGCCAACCAACCCGAAGACTGGTGCTGTTTCCTCCCAGCCTGCCCTCCTCTGTGTGGCGGTGTGGGTACTGCCTACACCAACCTGCACACTCAGGGGGGTCAGCCCAAGAGAAAGTGGTCTTGGGGACCCTGCCATGGGACCTGGAGAGGCCTGACATGCCCAAGACCACCCCGTCCTCTCCCCATGGCCCCATGGCCCCATGGCTCTCATGTCTGGGATAGAGGAGAGGGGAGCATCTCGGAACAGAGAACACATTTTGTTTTTCATTCTTCCCCTCAGATCATGGGGTGTTATAATTAAATCAACCTGAGAGGGAGGAGAAGGGAGGAAGAAGCACAGGGCAGGGAGCCCAGAAGCCTGTGCTCACCCCTGCCCCCAGCCGTCCTGGCCCTGCCAGCCAGTCAGGAGGACCGATGGACAGCTAGCCCTTACATGAGGCCTTTGAGCCCATCCTTGGGGTCTTGGCCACAGTGGGTCTGGCCAAGAGTCTGGGGACAGCAGGCAATAGAAGACCCGGCACCAGGATCAACCCTTGGGGCAGGGGGCCTCTCCTACCCAGTCAGGTGCCCAGCTTTACCCAGTCTCCCTTCCCCCACTCCCCAGCTGCCCAATCCCGACAAACCAGTTTGACTCAGCACAACAGGCAGGGTTACAATTTTCAAACTATGCAGGCCTGGTGATTCAGCTTCTTCATGCTGTCTAATTAGTGTAAGGCAGGGTGGCTGAGACCTTGCTCACAGCAGCTTCAGCTTCGGCTCACTGCTGCTGAGGCCACAGTGGCAGTGGCAGCAGTTCTGGCTAAAGGGAAGGCAGGGACAAGCAAACTGGTTCCCCCAAATACCTGCCACTGTCCCTCACTGGTAGCTCTGAAGTGCCAGCTCACAATAAACAAGGATGGTGGGGGGGTGGGGGGCAGAGGCAAATCAAAACAAGTGAGCGAGCCCCAGGAATCAGGGCCCATTGTCCCCCTCAGTTGCCACCTACTCTGCAGCCACTGCTGCTGCCTCTGAGACTGATGGCCCCCATGCCCTTCCTCCTGGTTTGCTCACCTTCTGGTCCCACTTACACACCCACACCCATTCGTGGTCCTCAGGGGAGAAAGATCTTAGATTGAGGGACTAGGAATATCACTCAAAAGGAGTGAGCAACAGGGTGCCCCTGTTTCCCTGTGACTGAGGATAAATCAGAGGGCAATTTGTGTAGGGGGAGCAGTGAGGGAGGGAGAGCCCAGGTAGGGGGATCATTGGGGTACAGGCATCTCTTCAACCAGGGAGGATAAGTAAAGACCCACCCAGGCTTCATCCTTGTGGAAAACTGCTGAGATCCTTGGATGCAGTCTTGGTGAACCCCAAGTGTGCAGGGAGGAAAAGCAACGCTAGACAGTGTCTGACCAGTGTTTCCATGAGGGGCATCACACACAGCTCAGGGATCCTCAGCCTTAATATAATGCCCCCCAGATGTGGAATGCCAAAAGCAAACCAAATCTTGGCAAAGCCAAATGGAAGGTTAGATTCCCCACCTTTAAAGCTTGGGGGGCTGAACAGAATTTTCAGTGCTGGAGGTCCCACCTAGCCCTGACTTGGTTTCAGTGCAGGACCTCCAAGTCCATCCATCCCACCTTTCAAGCTCCAGAATGGGGATGGGGTACAGGAAGAAGTCAGGGACAGCTCCCCTTTCTTGCCATCTCATTCCTTCCCCTTCCAGAGCTGAAGGGAGATAGAGGTGGGGTGGGGGGCAACTTCCTTCCCAGACCAACCTTCCCTCCCCACCACTCCTCCCTCTAGTAAGAGCACACACCAGTTTCAGTTCTGAAGCTCCCCAAGGAGGAGACCCAGAGTAATAATAAATTAATCCTTGAATAACAATAGCTGTGTGCTAAGCACCTGACACCCATTAACTTTGCTCACCCTAAAAGGTAGGCGCTATTACCATCCCGTCTTACAGTGAGGGAGGACTGGATGGCAGGCAGTGCACCTCTGGGCTGGGGTCAGCGCCCTGAAGCATCCCTCTTCTTCCCTTCATTCACACACACACACACACACACACACACACACACATACACACACACTCTGAAGACCCTGAGGTGTGAGGTAAGGCAACAGTGAAGGAGCTGGTGAAAGTCACACTCGGAAGGCACTCCTCCTTCTCAGAGCACCCTACACTGGCCTGGCCACCCAACCACCACCCACCTGGCTGGAGAGCAGCTCCAGATCCCTGTCTCTCCTGGGTTGCTACCGCTGATCAGTCTCTGCCTCCTGGTCAGCCCTCAGTTTCTTGGCCAGGAGGCCTGGACTGCCAGCTCCCAGTGAGGGCCTGCCTCCCTCTGAGGTCTAGAGGGTCCAGTGGATATTGAGGAGTGTGAAGTAGGAGGAAAGGGAGGGACTGAGGACGGGGAGCCTCTTCAGGTAGCTCTTGCTTACCTGACCCAAGCCATACATACACACCCCCACCCCGCTCTCAGCACCCCCACAACAAGGGCCCTGGGCCTGGCACACACAACCCCATAAACGCGTGTGCCTGTGGTGCCTCTTGTGGGCTTAGACACAGACACAAACCTGGGAACTCCAACAGGCTCCCTGGCTCACACCCTGGAGGCAATCAACAACAAAGCCCCACACTGGTTTCTCACGCCTGTGATCCTATCACACACATGTGGGCGCGACCTTGGTGTGTCTGTCTGGATTTGCATGTGTCCACCCCGTGTGAATTGGTCTGTCAGCACCAGTGGGCCCCAAGATAAAAGAGGGTGGGGACTTATAGGAATATTTTTCCCCTGGAGAAAACTAGAAAGCATCAGAAGACATCTTTCCCTCAGCACTGTATTCCTTCCTTTCAACCTTTAAGGTTACCGATTGTGAACATATGAACAAACCAAGTTACACAGAATTCATGTTTTTGTTTCTAAACTAAGAGAGTGACTAGATTTGTTGTAGATGCCAAAAATAAGCACTGCCTATATTCCAATTTCCCCCCAATTTTTATGATGTCCTTCCCTCCACATTAAGGAAGATCTTTCTTTCATTTAATGGCAATTTTTGTAAGTGTGTATGTGTCTATTGTTTGTGACCCTTGTCAGAGCCTGTCCCCCAAAGGCTTATGTCAAGTTGGCATGTTTGTGAGCTCTCCCATCAGGGCCAACAACACGAGCTGTTATTTAGAAGTCGGGCTACCCCCTCAACACGACGTTGGCCCAGCTTTCACAGAATCCTTTGTGAAACCAGCCCTTTCCCCTCTGGTGTGCAAACCCAACCGGCTTCTGAGCTATCCGGGACAAACGCCACAACTTCAGGGGTTCAGGGGAGACCCAGGCACTCCGGAGTCCTGCTAGCAGGCGGAGGAGAGCCACCGAGCAATGTGCAACGACTGTGCACAGTTGGCGCTCCTAAGCCACACACAGTCAGAGGCCCCCGCTTCTCCACCCCCGCAGCCATCCCCTGACAAAGCGGGGAGCTCGCACTCGCACTCTCAGCTAACTCCAACGGGTTAGCCAACACCGTCCCCCAACCTGAGGTCCTGCTTCGCCCCCACCGCCACAGCTCCGCAGCTGCCTCAGCAGCCCCGTCTTGCCCGGTAGGTCGCCCACACTTCTCTCTCCCTCCTCGCGAGGTGCCGAGGGCCCCGCTTCTCTGCCGGGATGCGGGGTACTCCCACAAAAGCTCACGGCGGGGCCATGACTTTCGGGGACGCGCAACCTCAGTCGAGCTGCCCGTGAGCGCGCCACCCGCGGACTGCCGGCCTGGGAGCAAGCTGGGGCCTCCGGGGCGGCTCCGGGGACGTGCTCCCCACCCCGTCCTCGAGCCCTGGGGCGGGCGCGGCACCTGAGCCTCCCCGACGTGCGCCCGGCCCCGCGCGCCCGCCGCTCACCTTCCAGCGCCGGGCAGCCGGCGGGCAGCATCAGCAGGAGCAGCGGCGGGAACAGCTGCAGGCGCCCCGGCGGGCGGGCTCGGGCCATGGCGGGCGACTGCGGGAGCCGAGCCGGGCCGCGCCGGGTCGCGCCGGCGGGCTGCGGACACCGGAGAAGGTCCGCTCCAGGGACTCCGAGACAGGCGCGCACGATCCCGGGAGATCCGGGCCGAAGGCGGTGTATCCTCAGCGGGAGGCTCCGGGTCCGAGCGAGCGCCCCGAGCCCAGCGGTGCTGCGGATGCGGAAAGGCTGGTCCCTAGGGAATCAGGACGGACCGGTCCAGGAGGATCCTGGCGCTGGAGAGCTTGCAGCCGGAGGACTCGGGGAGGCGAGCCGGGGCGGGAGGGCTCAAATGGTCGTAGTTCGGGTGTACAGTAATCCGGCGGTCCGCCGCGGGCCGGACTCGGATTCCCGGGCTTCGGGTGCGCACGCCGTCCGGGTTCCGAGCGAAGATCTCGCAGCGCCGCTCACGTACTCACTTCTGCTGTCTCCCGCGCTGGCGCGGCCGCTCAGGACGAGAGGGGCGGGACCGGACGCCTGCCTGTCAACGCTGATGCCCCGCCCGTAACCCCTGGCCGTCCGTTTCACAGTCTGCCGGGCGCACTGGTCCGGCCTCCAGAGCGCTCTGCGGGAGTTCAATTGGCGGTGCTTCTGTCAGACCCACCCTCAGGTCCCCGAGGCCCGTGGTGGGCGGGGCCACGGAAAAGATGAATTAGATTGGGCGGAGCTATACTGTCCATCAGAGGGAGAACCCCTCCTCCTGTCGCCCATTGGCCTTTAGTGAAAGAACCTCAGTCCGAGGAGGTGCCAGCCACATACAACGAGCCTGGGGCGCCCCCGTGTGGCCTGTACGTGCCCAGGGTCTTCCCCGTGTGGCTGTCTTCTCCAGGCACGTCCAGACCCTAAACTCAATTTAGGTGCTACCAGGGAAGCGCCCTCTGCGACATATCCTGTGACCAGGGCCTTCCCGCTGGTTTATGTGTTTATTCATTCATTTAGCCGTGTATTTAATTATTCTTTGAGTCAAAGACTCTAGTAACTGCTGGCGCTACAGCAATGGTAAGGCAGAGGTTTGTGTTCTCTTGGAGCTACTTAGTGGTAGAGGCAGGCATGAAGTCATCCCAGCAGAGTGAAACAGGTATTACTACGGGGAAATGACAGAGTTGCCAGAGCACATGTAAGGGGCGGCTATGTTTTGTCCTGACGAAATGATATTGAAGCTGAAATATGATAGAGCAGTAGCTGAAGAATGTATGTTTGGGGAGGGTGGGTGGCTGTTCCAGGCAAAACTCACACCCTTGTCCCAGAAGCAAGAGAAACTGATACTTGTTGGAGGAATCTGAAAGGCTTAGAAGTAGGTGTAGGAGACAAAAGGAATTTTTTAAAGATGCATAACGCCTTCCTAAGAATTAGGGATTGAAGCAGAGGTATTATTTTATCAGATTAGCGTGGCTGCTCTGGGAAGGATAATGGGAGGAGGCAAGTGTGGAAACGGGAGATCAAAGAGAAAGCTGTGCAGTGGTCAGGCAGAAGAAGGTGACAGCTTGGCTTGGGGTGACGGCTGTGGGATTGGAGAGAAGTGGCAGGTCTACGATGTTTTAGGAGGCAGGGTTCATGAGATTTGTGAATGAATAGTTGAGAGATATGTAGTAGATGGAGACATGAAGGAGAATCCCCCAAAATTCTGGATTGGGCAAATGGACTTGTCCCCCATTTGTTTGACAAACATTCACAAAGCGCAATAAACACAATGAAACAATAGGTCTTATTTATTAAAAGGTAAATTCTATAGCCTCATTTTACAAGCAAAACTGACATCTTAGTGCCCAAAGTCACAGTGCTAATAAGTGGCAGGAGTGGGATTTGAATCCAGGACCTAATAGTTTTTAGACTCACTCATTCAATTTCACCAGAGCCCTAAGGAACATGTAGGTGCTTGTTAAAAACTCAGAATCCTGAGTATCCACCCCACCTTGGATTTTGGGATGCAGAATCTCTGCACTACGGGGCCCACGGTTCTGCATTTTTAATAAGCATTCCAGGTGACTCTGATGTACCCTAATATCTGAGAATCACTATCACCATGAAGCCTCTCACTATCCTAACTGAAGAAGCATCCCTCCATGATCCCTCTGAGCTTTTCCCAGCCACCCTACGATTTCTGTGGACAGAGAGTGAGAGATCAGGTTCTAGGTGTTCTCAGAAACAAGACAGTCATACTTATTCTCTGACCATGAAGTACCCTAGTTCCACTGTTGGAAACTCCATTAGGGTAAGGGAGGTCATAGATCCAGTATTTGAGGACATTGCTCTAAGAGACATCGGTCCTCTTGGCTGGAGACAGAGGAACGTGTGGGTACATGAGGCTGGAGTGGTGGTAGGGGTGCCATGAGACAGAGATTCCATCCCCACCGCCCAGGCACTTCAGCCTCCAGATCTGTTCAAGCCCTAAAGACTTCCAGCAACATCATTCAAAGCTCTAGACCACAAAAGGGATCTTAGAGATTACCTTGTTCAACTCCTCCATTGTAGAACTGGAAAGCCTGGGGCCCAGAAGGCTGAGACTGCTTGCCCTACAGTTCCCTCTGCCTGGGGTGCTGTTTGGAGCTGGGTGAGGTATATTTCGGCAGGTGGCCTGGCAGCAACACCTCCCAGTTGAAGCCCTGATCATTGTAAGGCAGATCTGTGAGGCTGGCACTCCTGTTTGCTCAGCATCAGTGCCAGACTAGGCCTCGCCCTGGACAAACACAGCCTGCTGGACGGCAGGCACCGAGCTTCTTTGTTCTTGGAACTGATAGCAGAGGCAGCAGGGCCAGCAGGTAACAGAGGGTCCAGACTCACCAGACGTTGCCACCATGGTTCCCACGGGAATGCTTCCTGGTCAAGAGGCTGATGGGCTGAAAGGCACCTGTCTACTGGCTACCACGGCCTAGGGCAGGAAGGTGACCACCTGGCAACAGAACAGATGTGAGAGGGGAGCAGGTGGAGAGACAAGGACTGAGAGCCAGGCCAGATTAGGGGACTGGGCTACCTCTCTCTCTTCAGGGCTAAGTCAGCGGCATGATCCTAACCCTTTTATCTTTACAGACTAGGAGGAGCCAAAGAACACAGGGAGCAGGATCTTTGCTTTGGATAGAAGGGAACACATCTGGACTGAGGTCAAGGTGCCCCTTTATGAGACTGTCATCCTTCGTCCATTTAATCCAAGGAAGAAGTTTCATGTCAAAGCAAGAGCTTGGGCTTTGGCATCAGAGAGACCTGCATCCAAATCCTGGCTCAGCCATTTACCAGCTGGGGGACTTATGATAAGAAGTTAAACCTTTTTGAGTCCAAATGTCTGCAGGGATGAAGGTGGAATGATAATCATGCCTCCCTTGCAGGGCCCTTATGTCACTCTGCCCACAGCAGCAGGAGCTCTGCAGGTACCTGATAAATGGTCCCACTGATAATTAACGCCCAGTCCCCAGAACTTCTCTGGAAACACTGTCAGTCTGAGTACAACTAGGGGAATGAATATGAATTGCACTGGGGCTTAATCTCCTTATCTTTTCAAAAGATAATAAATATGTGGGCTGGGGGTAGTTTCAAGAAAGACAAGACTTGGAAAAGAGAGCTTTGGGGCAGTAAGCTACTGTGGGATTGGCTTGATGAGTGCATTTGGGGCTTCAGTTGAGGACCAGGGTAGAGGCAAGGAGACCAGTGAGGAGGCCACAGGCAAGAGTTGATAATGACAGGCTTCAGCTGTAGCACAGTGGTCTGAGCAATAGGGCAGGGGGTCATTTAAGTAAAGAGTTGGGGAGGAGTAGTTTGGTTGCAGGGCATGGGAGATGGGGACTGAGGGTGTCATTCTGGACTGGTTAAGTGTGGGAGGTCTGTCAGATATCCAAATGGGTTCATTGTGCAGACAGCAGGCTACACCACTCCCACATCTCCTCTACTGACCCCCTCCCTAACATCTGAGCAACCTCAGCTGTGGTCTCTGTCCCTTGGAGGTACCACCTCAGGGCCCTTGCACTGGCTGTTCTTTGTGCCTAGATGCTCTTCCAGCTCTTACAGAGCTGCCTCCTCTCAGAATTTAGGTCTCCACCTAAATGTGACCTCCCAGACCACTCCTCCCTTCTCCCCTACACCATCACTGTCTATCTCATTGCACTATTTTATTTTCCTTATACTTAGCATTTAATATTATGTAATTATTACTTGTCACTTAGCATTTATGTGATTTGTCTACATGTGTATTGCCTGCATCCCCTTCTAAAATGTAAACTTCCTAAGGACAGAGGCTTGTCTTATTTACCACTAAATCCCCAGTTTAAAGACTGGTGCCCTGCATGAAGGAGTCTCTCAATAACAATTTACTGAATGAATCAGTGAGTATAGCAAATATATGTTATTCATGCTGCCACCTCCTCTTTCCAAGCCTGTGGCAGACATCGTTCGTGGATTATAAGTTCATTCCTCAGTGTGAGGCTGCAGACGGCCCTTGTCTATACCTTGTCTATCTATCATGTTTGGCACACGAAGTGAAACCTACTTGTGAGACTTTTAAAGCTCCTCATCTGGGTCTCATTCAAGGCGCAGAGGAGTCTTTCCGCCCCTCCTTGATGGGCTGGCCCTCCAGTCTAGAACCTGATGCCATGTGCAGACATGCCAGACCCCCCAGCAGGGCCTTTAGTCCCTGGCTTTCTCTTTGAGTCACAACCACTCCTGCACTTTTCTCTCCCTCTGTTAACCCCATATTCTCACCAGCCCCAGAAGGCAAGGCTAGTTGACACCTGGTCCAACAAAAGTCTGATTTTCAGGATGTCTTGCTGCCCTTGTCTAGCCTTGATTAAAACTTAGTCCATAGGCACACACCTGATCATCTGATCATCTACATTTGCCCTCTTACAGCACCAAACTATGTTTTCTACCTTTATCTTGCATCTACCTACCACTTCAGCATTTTATTAAAAATAAAAATAATAATAATAATAGGAGAAATGTGGGATCAACATATAAATCAAGTACAAAAATCAAACGAATATTCATATTTGACCTGATTGTTTATAGGTCATAATGCATGATCAAAACCGAAAGTTTCTGTGATGAATGCCCTTGTACTGTTCACCATGTAAGAATTTATTCACTATGTAAGAATTCGTTCACCATGTAAGAACTTGTTCGTTATGCTTCAGAAGATTGGAGACTGACGAGAATTAGGCTTGAGATGGATTAATGATTGTACATTGAGCGTTGACCCCCCTATACTGAATTTTATTGTTGTTAACAACCATTTGATCAATAAATANAAAAAAAAAAAAAAAAAAAGTCTGATTTTCAGATGAGAAAACTGAGCTCAGAGATGGAAAGTCAATGGAGCCAGAAATGCAACAAAGCCTAGTTGTCCCCACCCAGTGCTTTGGCAGCCACCCCTCTCCCTGGATCCCCACCAGGCATCAGCACCCCCTCTCCATGAGACAGAGACGGGGGAATGCAGCTTCCTTGCACCCGGGCACATTCCCAAGCCCCAGGAGGCAGGCAGCATGGCTTCCCTGCAGGCCCTGCGCACTTGGTGGGACAAGGATGCCCCATGGA